TAGTATAGACATGGCCTGAGATCTCTCAAATCTCAGAAGAATGGAACGTGCAGCACAAATATTTATCCTGATTGTTTTGGAGCACAGCGTTGATCTTGCTGCATTCAACTCTTCATCTTTTTCCAGTACTTTTGCATTTTATGATTGGCTGTAAAGTCAAAACATGGATTCAGAATTCAGTGTTAATATCAAGTCTATCTAGCTGTGTAATTATATGGCTCCACAGCAAGCTCACAAACGCTAATGAATTTATCCTCACAACACTCCTAGGTGGGTGGGACTAGATTTTTAAAGGAGCTCAGCTCCGGTTTAGGCACCAAAATTAGTGGTCATATTTTTTAATACAGTTATCTGTGTATTGGTTGCTAAGGACCTTGAAAATCTGTACTGCCTTTAGGTGCCTAAATGGGACTGCAGCTCTTTTGAAAATCTGACCCCCATCATTGATGCTGAGCATTTGAAAAATCTGTCCCCAAGTGGTCTGTCAAAGGACACACAAGAAGTCTGTGGCAGAGCCAGGAAATAAAGTCAGATCTCCTGATTCACAATGCATTCCAACACATGAATGAAATACAGAGAATAGAGTACAGTCCTAGGAATCCATACCCCAGTTAGCTGACACACAGTTGTGTCCCTGTATATGCATTGAATACTCCTCTAATTATTTGAAACCGCCCCCTTTCCCAAAGTTTTTGAAGTGCCTGAAACATTGCAGCTAGACAGGGTTATACTCTATTGTATTTTCAGTTCATCATGATTACAGTTAAGTTCCTGTACAACCTTCTGTCTTTCAATATTTATGGTGTTTTGTGATGCTGTTACAATGAAAGCATTGCAGCTTCCTGACACATTTCAATGATCTGTGATTCAAAATGAGTAAGTAGGTTTATAGATTCATAGATTCATAGATTCTAGGACTGGAAGGGACCTCGAGAGGTCATCGAGTCCAGTCCCCTGCCCACATGGCAGGACCAAATACTGTCTAGACCATCCCTGATAGACATTTATCTAACCTACTCTTAAATATCTCCAGAGATGGAGATTCCACAACCTCCCTAGGCAATTTAATTC